GCTTCTTATTAGCCTCCTGTTTCAATATCTAACAAACACAGATTTCTTTTTGATATTTGCTCATCAGCTCAGTTGAAAATTGGCCGAGTGCAACATGCTGCTGTTCTTTGATTTAGAAATTTTGCTTACCATTGGATCCAATGACATGATAAAAAGTTCTGTAAAGAAACTGATTCTAATATTTCATGAAAAAGACTTGTATCGCTGCAAGGACATCGTCATTCTTATTCTAAGTTTATTATATATCATAAGAGTTTCAGCTACTTTGTCGTATTTTACTTGAGTAAAATTAGTCCTTTAAACTTTTAAGAATAAATTAATCTTGTCGATTCGCTGTCAGTGATTTACGACTATGTCGTTAGTGTTATTCTTCAGTTTCAAAACATAAATGTTTTTCGTTACCGATAGATTTTTCCTTCCTCCTCCACTTTACTGCAGATACTTCTCAAAAAAGTCTGTTCTTTACACTCTCTATTTGTTAACACGGTCATAAAACGGCTCAATTTTTAGCAGTCACGTGGCTGATATGACACCCTTTTAAAATTCTTTTTCTGAGATGTGTATGCAGGAACTTACGAATGGCTGAAAATTACTAGATAGCCTAGGTATGCTTAGAAACTGCTCAAAGAGCTAATAGCGAAATAACTGACTGGGCATTGATTGGTGACTGATTTTTTAAAGCGGTTACGTTTTGAATATCAGAACAATATTTTCACCATCTTAGAATTCTTTGAAGTCATCTTTATATTTTTTGGTACTATCTCGTTATTATCATCATTATCAGTAGTAAAATGTAATGATTATAAAATAAACAAAAGATGATGTATAGCCAATCGTAGAACAGAAGTTACAATGCTACGGAACACCTTGTGTTTTCATGTTTTATGTTGACGCTTAATACAGAACTCATTTTTTCAAAAAATATCGAACAGAGGGAAGCTATTATGTGTGTTACAGAAGGTTTTTACCGAATAAGAAGTTCAATTTGGTATGCTTGAATTAAATGCACTGAAGAATGAGAATTCTAGCGTTCTGCATAAAATTATCTGTCTTATCTTAAATGTAATTTAGTCTTTAGAACAACCAAAACTAGCATACTTAAAAATAGTATATTAAAATAATAAGCAAATGAAAAAGTAGCCAACTTCTTCAAAAGTAATCTAGTCAGAACACTATTGAAAATCCGAAAGGATAGTTTACTCACGCGCACCATACTTTGTCATGATTCGTCTTCAAATTAATTTTCGCTGGTAGGCCGCCTAAGAAACCATCCGTACTTTTATGACATTTTCTTGTAGACGGTCTGCAGTTCCAATACTCTAACATCGGAAGTTGGACAGTTGTTCTTACGTACCAGATTCGTGCTTTATAAACAAAGCAGTTGGTTTTGTGGCCGTTGACGCATGCAGACGATTACGATAAAGTAGGAATGTTTTCGTAAGTTTCTGGCGCGATGAAGAAAAAACTTAAAGGAAGAAGTTTAGGCATGGAAGCATGTAAGTAAAAGAAAATATCGGATGATCAGAAATCAGACAGAATAATGTCTGCAACAAAAGGTTTCGTCGTCGTTGTTTGGCCCAAACGTCAAAGGAATAAATGAAATTTGTAACTGAATTCGGCTGTATTTGAAATGCAGTATTGATACGTTTGTTTAGAAAATGTCACCCATAACTTTTGAGTACTTTTTCCTATAACAGTTGCCTTGACGTTGGGCTGAATACGAGATCTTTACAACATATAACCCGAGCATTTGCTCTATTACGGTTAACCAGCCCTTCGAAAAGTGTTTTTGCTGCTTCCAGTGAATTGCTTCTCATTTTCCGTACCACCAAAATCCATTTATGAAAGTTCAAAACTTGTCCGATTGGTTCTTCCTAACTTCTGCAAGGGCTTCAAGCTGAATATTGTTTTAAGCTTTACAAGGTTTGTCGACAATACAACTCCGACGACGTATAGTGTGACAGATGGAACTTCCAGTTTGTAACGGGGTAGCCTTAGGTCAAGATTACGTCGGGGCTTCTTTTTTGTTCTTTTTAGGTATCACTGTTGCTGTAGCAGCGCTTGGCTGAGCATTTTTGTAAATCACGACCTCGACCGAAAAGGTCGAAAGAAAGAATTAAACAAATATCTTTGAAATCTCATTGAAATCTTGTTTTGTAGCCCAGCAACGAATTCCGTGACAAAGCAGGTGATTCCTTCCTTCTAGATTTGAGTTATTTTTCATTAAATTTCCCTAAATAACTTTTTCATCACTTCACGAGTTAGTCAACACAGGGGCTATCAGTGCCTAGTCCAAAAATTTGCAGCCAGAAAATTCTAAATATTGTTGAGCACAACTCAACAGTCTACTTGTTCAACATCATATTCAATAACTGTTCAAATGCCTAAAGCTCTCGATTTAGAAAAATTATTCTTACTCTTCAATTTAGGCTGCCATTATTTCGTTTACTAAATTAACAGTTATTTTAAGCAATTTAGCAGGAAAATTATAAATAGAATGTCTGCTGATGGTTACCTCCAAAAAAAGACGAGGATTAAAAAACGGGAGAGGCTTTTTAATTACCACTTTTATTCCCTCTATTGTAAACTACTGCATGCAAAAAAACTTTCTGTTCTTGTTAATGATTTCCTGTCTTGATTTATTGCTTACCTTTAGCGGATCAGTTTTTTACCAAAATCGTTGAGTGACAAGAAAAAACTAAAGGAAAGATGACGCAAGGTGATAATTGGCTTAAAACTGACGCACGAAATACAGCAATAATGTAGAAGCACTAGTTTCTTTGCATAATTGACGCTTAGAAAACTAGAAAACTAGAAATAGAAGATAAGAGTATTGTTTTTGTTCAGAGCCATTTTACTTGCTTTTTTTTGTGGATTTTCCACATTAAATGTACTTTCCCCTATTATATTTTCAATAATTTTGCTTCATTTTTTAATTGGCTCCAGTCAGGCAAAGCTCTGATTTTCTTCTATGGTTTATGATAACTTTCTTCAAAATTTTTAAATTTCGGGATTTGCGAGAAGAATAAGCAGTGGCATACTAATCAAACAGGTTTCGATAATGAAACACCTAAGAAAAAAATTATTAGTTGGAAATCTTCAAATTATGTTCCCATCCTCTGTTTGTAAAAGAAGCAAAATTTTCAAGGGTATTTCAACTCTTCTCCTGCCAAAAACTGATTCTTCATTTACTTTGTTCACCATTTATTAAATGTTTTTTTTTTTTAAACCTATTGTCAGCTTTCTTGTTTTCAGAATTTTTAAAATATCTGTTTTTTTTTTTTCTTGGGATAAAATTAAAGCTTCCTTCTAAACCTGTATGCAAATGTTATTTGTGCTTTTTCCTTCACTATTTCTTGTACACTTAATAGGATGGAACATCGCAATGATCTCTGGTTTATTGGTATCTTACTTTCTTGTTGCAACACTTGAATTCTCTGTCATAAAAACCTTATATTTGTTAACTCAAAGAAAAACTCAGCATCCTTCCCGGTCCTAAGGTAATAAAGGAGGTAAATGAGTCCCACTGTTGAGTGCAAAAGTTATTTGACCAAAGTGCTAAGGAACAAAAGGAAAAAATTTGAGTTAAAGAAAAACAGATGTCAGTCGTGAGGAACGCAGTATTTGTGAAGTAAAAAATAAACGATTGATCTCTTTCGCTAAACTGTTTGCATTTTTCCAGACATGATTGTCATGCCAGTGCTTTCCAGATATCTGATTTTTGAATAACGAAAGGAGCAAATTGGAACAGTAGAGGGAGCAGAATTTCTGCCACCGGAGAGTCAAAAATTTTTGAGCACGGTTCAACAGTTTTTGTCTGAAATCGGCGGCAGCTGCCAATCACTGCAACTGCTTTATTCGTAAATCGTGTTATTTGAATTTCGCGCTTGGTGAACTTTACGCTTTCATTTTCTTGGTTACGATGAACCAACGGATGAATTTTCAAATCCTTTAATTTATTCCATTGCAAACAGTGCTCGGATCCCACTGAATGGTTGGAAGTATCGTCGAGGGCGTCGGAACAACATTTTTGGATTTTCAGTGTATTTGGGAAGATGTCTATTCGACAATGTGAATTTACGTCGTTCGTAGCTGTGCAGAGCAGAATGAACTTCTAAGTAACTTTGCTCCTCTTTTCTCATCGTCGTTTTCTTTCGGTTGAAGAAGATTTATGCATGTGTCTGGGCAGAATTTGTTACAGATGAAGAATTATTTTATTAGCAGTACCATAACGGTTCTGCCACAGAATCGCAGTCCTCTGCTTCCGGTTTCTGTTCTCCTTTTAATTATGAAATTTTTCTTATTTTTGCATAACAGCCACTTCGACGTTATCGTTAAGTTTTTGGTAGTGATACATCTTCTTTTTGAACCATCTTGTCGTGGAAAAACTTTTCCATATTGGGTAATTTGCTGTAATTTCAGTGTTCTTTTTTTATCCGTTATTTTGAAAATATATTTGGTTTATTTCCGTCCTGCTGGTTCGTGTCGCTATTTAGCTTTTCGTCATTTGGTTTTGAATTTTCTTCAGATGGTATGGGATGCTAAAACGCTTTACAGCTGTTTTTTCCATTTCTCATAAAACTGTGGGATTTTGTTTTGATAAGTGTTGTAGAGGAAATTAACTAGTTGTATTATCTTTATTTGCCAGTTGTTTTATTTCATAAATGATTATACGTCGTTTATTTATGGTTGCTGCTTTCTTGAAGAAAATATTCAGCCAGTGGCTTCAAAAATTACGCTTAGTGGGTTATGTATGAGTAGGTAGTAATCAAGGAAGTTATAATGTTTTTAACGCGACAGATGATGGTAGGGTTCGGCGTTGACTTCATTATCTGTAGTCAGTTTCAAGTTACCTTTTTTTCTAAATGTGATATACGATCTACAGCATGGCTACTGGCAGTATCGAACTCATTGTGATGTAATAGCCTTTACTGAACTGCTAAAGTTATTTTTCGAACACTGAGATTTGGTGAATGAATTATGTGATGAATTTAGTGAGAATGGCTCAGTATTCAACTGGTTCAACGTCCTCGTCCGATGATTCCAGCGATGACGATGCATCTCGTCCAGTACCTGAAGGTTCGCCTCAAACAGACGGGTCACAGCGTTCGAAGGATGGTCGAACAGAAACTTCGAGTTTGTTTTTATTATTATTTTTAAACCGTTTTTGTTTTTATTCAACTATTATATTGACACTTTTTGTGATGTCATTCACTCAGTAATCTTTTGAAAGCTCAGATTTTAAATAATATAGGTGATTCTGATGATACTGAAAACGACGAGGTACAGAAGGAAGAGGAACAAAACAGCGACCGTTCTTCGTCAGAGGAGTCGGGAACTGATGGGAGACAACGTCAGTTAATATTGATCAGGCTTTCTGTTTTTAAAACTGTAAAAATTCTTACTTTTCCCTTTTTGTCGCACGTAGTTTATTTGGTCATTACTTCCTAAGAAACTTTTTTGAATGAAAAATTCAGTATTTTTATATACTTTAGGAAATATTCATTTTTGTTCTTTCATATTTGAAATTTATTACAGAAGGCTCATTATCTGAACCGGCAAATGATTGTGAGTTTTTGTTGCTGACTTCTAAAAAGGTTTTTTTGCTGAAAATTTATTTATTTATTAATTTATTTTTTGTGACCTTGCTTTGTACTGAAATAAGCCTTGATGCTGTGATTAATGTGAGGCAGCTGGGGTGGTTAACATGTAGGTATGCGTTTTTATAACATGCTTTTTTATTTTAATTTAGTGACTTTCCCGCTTTTCAACTTCATTGCTTAGCTCTTCCTGCCTGTCTATTGATTTTTCATTTTTTTTTTCTAAATTCTGTAAATCAGCTTCCTCTTCAACCTTGTGTTTTAAGCAAAGTTTACTCTCGGTTCGTCAGAAGATGGAAGCAGGTCGCCACCTTCGGAGAGACAACCTCCAAGCCATGAAGACTCCCCAGCATCTGTAAAGCACTCAGAGGGACGTCGTGGGAGAGCCCAGATTTCATCTGATGAAGATGAGGATGAAGCAGTGACCGGTGATATGGGTGGCCACAGCGCATCTAAAAAATCTGAAGGACAAGAGCTGAATGACATTGATCTCAGTGATAGTGAAAACGAGAATCAGGAAGAAAGTAAAGTAAGAACTTTTGACACAGATAATTAATATCAGAATGGTTTATTTTTTATTTCTGTTTGTTTATTTTCTTGCTTTATTATGTTCTTTATTTCTAAATATTTATATTTTTTGAGACTCAGCTTTGTATTATCGTGCTCTACAGTTTCTTTTTTCTTTGCTATATGGTATATAGTTCAGTTATCGTTTTTTAAAAATTTCACTTATCCAGGAAATGACAGAGGACGATATTGTCGGGCCTCGATTATATGCGGATCCTGATGCACAAGAGGACGAGCAGGAAGTGCGGCCTCCTACAATAGTAGAAGTTAACACTGCAAGGATTGACCCTAGTTTCACCTTTAGTGGTCTTTACTTTGTCAAACTTCCTAACTTTTTGAGCGTCGACTCCCGACCTTTTGATCAGGAACACTACGAGGATGAAATTGATGAGGATGAATATTTGGATGAGGAAGGAAGAGGAAGGCTTAAGTTAAAAGTAAACTGTTTTATGCCTCTACAACATCTGCTGTGACAGTGGGCTTGTTTTTTAGATCTTTAATTATTTTAAAAATTAATTTTGAAGGTTGAAAATACCCTACGATGGAGGTACAAACTAGACGAAGAGGGGAATTTAGCCAAGCAGAGCAATGCAAAAATTATTCGCTGGTCGGATGGAACGTAGGTTATTTGGTAAAATATTTTTGAGATTTTTTGAAAGGTCTTGTTTCTGACTTTATTCCCAAATTCAGTCATTATTTTTTCTTTTCGCGTTAGTTGGCTTTGAACTTTACATCCCAGGGTATCCAGCAGAATTTTAAATTTATGCTTCTCTAGGATGTCGCTTAAATTGGGTAACGAGCTGTTTGACGTTCAATGCCAGCTAATGCAACGAGACAATCATTTGTTCATGAGACAAGGTGCTGGTTTGCAAGGACATGCTGTATTTAGGTAATTTCGCTCTGATTTTTGCTACTATTAGCTTTTTTGCTGGATTTAACGTATTTTTAAAAAACTTTTCAAATGTGTCACATCTTAATATTATTTCACTTACATCTTATAATGTATGACAAGTTGCTCTGTACTTTGGAAAAATAGTCGTTTGCTGTTTACGATTTTGAAGCGATATCGGTCATTCATACTCTTTATTCTCTTTTTTATTTTTTTTACCTCACGAAGAAATTTTTGCGGTGCTAGTCTACGTTGAAATTATCATATTATTATTGCTTTTAGTCAAGGAATAGCACTAACTGTCACATATTTAATTTCACAAGCATTTTTTATCCTAGCAAAAAATTAGTATTTCGCCCATTCTCGACGGATTCGGTTACACATCGGAAGGTCACTTTGTCAATGGCAGACCGTACAAATAAGTCACAGAAAGTTAAAGTATTAAATAACGTTGGTCAGGATCCAGAGGCGCAGAAAGCGGTATCGTCTTTAATTTTAATATTACAAAAAGGAAATCTACTTTTTAAAACTATTTTCTACTTCATCCTTATTTCATTTGCCTTCAGGGCAACACTTATCTTTTGCTTTAAACTTTTCTTCTGCTACGCTGTGTATGGTACCATCTGTTTTTATAACTGTTTGGGACACTAATTCAGTATTTTATTTATGAAATAAATATTCTTTGTGCTTAAATAAATGTCCAGGAAATGGTTCGAAAAGAAGAGGAGAGACTAAGAGCACAAAACCGACGGGAAGCGCAGCAGAGACGTAATCGTATGAGACCTAGTTTACGCACTGGTCTTTCAGCCAACTATCTTGAAGGTGGTAGTTCGTATCTGATGGGGGTGATATTATAAATTGTTAATTTTCTGGGAATTGTCGTTGAAAGTTTTTTCAATTTTTCTAGAAGGCGAAGAAGGGATTGCATCTATTAAGAGGAGTTATAGAGCTGCTGCTTTCGACGAAGCACCTCTTATTGGTCGTTCGGATTCGGAGGAATCTGATTCTCAACGGCTTCATGATGCTCAGAAGGATAGTGATGAATCAGATTCCGATCAGGTCTTCAAAGATTATTTACCTTATTATATCGTGTATGGTTTTCAAATTAAACTTGTGTTTTTAGGAGAGGAGGAATCAGAGGAAAAAGAAGGTCATTATTGAAGATGACGAAGATTGAGATCTCATTCCTATGATGCTGGGAATTTCTCGAAAAGAATGAATAGCAAGCCTTCTTTATATGAAGTATACAGTAAGCTTCGAGTAGTATAAATTCTTAAAAAAGGATGACAGGAGGTTTTTAAATAGTTTTTTGCTTGAGCTACTGTTTTCCGCCAAGTCTTCCTACAGTTGACCGTTTGATATTCATTTTTTCGATTACCTTTTTTCCCGTATCTTTTGCTTTCCTTATTGTTGTTATTGTTGTTACCTCTGCTGTTGATCGTTCGTTGAACAAAAACCTTGAACAGCTGTAGCTTCATTCGAAGATACAGAGTTTTAGTGAAAGTCTTTCACACAGTTAACATTGAGTTGGAGCGGTTTTTGTTATACGGCCAGTCCTGAAATGACTAACAGTATGTTGCTAAAATTTCGGTTATTTTCTTGAACTCTGTGGCTTTGAATATGCAGTTTGCTCGTTCATTTTGAGAATTATATGATCAAAAATCTATGCTAACATTTATTTAATGAAAGTTTTCCTGCTATAGAACTTGAGAATTTATAACTTTTGCATTGTACTAGTCAAGTAAGTTGTTTTAACTTGACCTTCCAATATAAATTCAGGGTTACAAAGAAATGAGTAGAACTGGCAGATAAATGTTAGTTGCTGTATAACGCATTTGGGGTTTTTGCTGCAAGATTTTTTGATACAAGACGCCTGTGACAAGTCGTCAATATCTTATTGAAGCTAATCGTTGAATCCAGTATTTGGTTATGCTAGTCAGTTCAGTTGAGGTGCAACTTAGGTCATGTGACTGGTGCGTAAATCAGTTCTGGTTTTCTTTCATTTTGGTTCGTTGGAGAGGGATGTCAAGATGTTGTTAGTAGTGATTTCAAAGTGCAGGTGAGTGATTGGTGTTTGGGTCGGTGTATGTGTGAGTTTCTGTCTTCCTGTTCTCGTCATAGTCGGTTGCTCCTTTTTGTTACTTTTGGTTGCGTTGTGATATTGAGGCTTAAAAAAGTTAGGACCAGGAACGAGAAGAGTGAGCCTGGGCGAAAATTGGTATTGCGGAAGTGGTGGTCATTGCCCTATTTCTGAAAAGCTACATTGTCTTAAAAGATTCTCATTCCTACAAACTGGTTTGATAAGTTCAGTTGAGGGGCAGAAAACTTGCAGAATGCTGCTGACATCTAAAATGTTCTTGGGAGTATGAGGCTTTGCTAGTCGATTTGGTTTTGTTGACTATACAGTTAGAGGACCAAAAGGTTTTGAAGTATTTTGCACGAAAGTAGAATCTCTGCTACAGTTTACTGTTGGTAAAGCTGCTAAAAGTACTTTTTTGCGTGAGATGAAAATGTGGTTATATAAATATTGAAGCGTATGTATGTTATTATAGTGTTTTGGAGTCGGCGGTAGTATAGGGTCTCTACATAATTTCTTCGTGAAGAAGAGATTGGAGTTTTAATTTAGTTGTTTTGCTTAGGGTTCGTGGAAGTTACGGGTAGGGTGATTTTCAACGGCAAAAAGATTTGGTACGGTAACTTTGGATGCTTCTGTCGGTTTTTGTTGTTTGCTTAAAAAACTAAATGTAATTAAAAGCAGAGCAAGTGATCGAAAAAAAATTTAAGCGTTGCTTGTTATTCGGGTCAGCCTCGTGGTTTGACTTTTTTTTTTTGAGTTGGTTTTTTTTCGGACCGCGTTGGTTTGATTGACATGTTTGAAGATCAACTTTATCCATTTATAAATTATATTGCTTGTTGAATTACTTATTCTTTTTCTCCGTCTAAAAGTTTGACAATCTTTGCAGCCGTTAGGGTCGTCATGAAAGATGTGTCTTGCGGATGATTTTTCGGGTTAAAACATCTAATTATTGAAGTAGTGGACGTTTGCTAAATTTTAGCTGTTAAAAGCGTAGAAGCACAAATGTTTACACACCTCAAGTTTTTAAAGCTTTTGAAAAACAAGTTGAAAACCAAGAAGAAACCAAGAAGAACGGTCCTCTTTTATTGATCTTTACTTGGTGAACAAATTTCTTCATACAGTGACGCCGATCCACTACTTGGACGGACTCCGGCTAAGCAAAGTCTGTGCCTGTTATAAGAACATGTTTACTAAAAAGAAGGCTGTTTTGTTGTTGACGCCTGTTAAACATAAGTACAGGTGGGACGCCACTAAAAATTTTTTTTAATATATCC